GCTTTGAACACATCTCCCACACCAAAGAGATGACACAACCTGCGACGCTGAATTTTGTCAGGCAAAGGTTTTGCAATAGATGCCATTTTTTTTCTTCTCCCTGAACATTTAGAAACAGCAATGATTTCCTTTGGATGCTTGAAGGCAAACACTGGCAACGTGACAGCAAGAAGAAACAGGAAGTGCCATGCCTGACATATTCCCCATCCTTTTGGCGTGTCATCTTCCTTTTTCTGGACACCTGATTGATTCTGACATTCTATATTGGGTATTTCATACGAAAGAGAATTTTGTGATTAAATCTTAATGAGTTGGAATTTCTCTCAGTGCTTTTATTACAGGCCACCAGTTTTGAACATTTTTCAAAGTAGCACACCCAAATTCCACTGTTTGCAATGAATTAATAATACAGTCTTGTCACTGAAGTATCATGCATTCTTTAATCAGGCCTTGAGTGTGAAACAGAAGCGCCTTGAAAGGTATTTCTTCATGATCAGAACAATTAGAAACTTAGCGGCACATAATAAAGGGCTGCTCCAAGTAATGCATTCATATATAAATACAGTATGTGTGAGTGTCAGAGAGACCCCTGGGGTGTACAGCTTTCTTGTAGCTGCTGTTTGAGTTATAAGTCATGACTGGCATGACAGAGGATTTGAAAAGACCAAGGCCAAAGGCTATGTGAACTGTGAGCGCAAAAGAATAGAACCAAACGTCTTTGTTCTGTGAACGCAAAGAGCTCGCCAAGTTGTCGAATAAACATCCTGAAGTTTAATTCACCCCTCTATTGTTCAGCCAAGAATTTCTCCAGCCCCTCTTTGCTGTTCTTGTTATGAGGACAAGACACAAATTTGTTTTGGTAGTTTGTGGTGCGAGATCTCCTTTCTGCATCCATGCATCAGAGCTGACTTGTAGCTCATGTCCGTATCTGCCTCTCACCTGAACTCCTCAGTGGCTTTTCAACAACTGACAGGGAGAATAGAGGAATGTGGCTAAACTGCTTCATTTCATCATCTCAGCTCAGGATGGTTCACCCACATCCTCTTTACCATTTGAACACTGCTAGTTGTGTCTGTTGTGCTGTGGTGTGACTGGGAAGGAAAAAAAGAATAAGCAAAATGGAAAATACCCAGTAAAATGTCTTGCTGTTACTTGCAGTAAATCCAGTCCTTGTCTTGTGATTTTCCTTCAGTTTCATGTTGCTTTCTTTTTCAGGACAGTTTTATATAATATATTTAACCAAAAATCATTAGGCACCCACAAAGAATGGTCTCATTTGGATGTGATTTGGTTCACATGTAGACCAGCAATGTGTATTTGTAAGAAGCTATAGCATGTCAATGACAGGGACCAGAGGACATAAATGGTGGTATAATTAGTGGAGTAATACTGTTATCAAGCATCTGTCAAAGTATCTCACAGCCAGTCAAAACAGCGAGTAAAGGTCATCAGGCATAGAAAATGCCTTGCAGGTGCATTTGACAGCATTCCCAGTACCGATGGTAGGAATTGCATTTTGGGTCTGTATGAGTCGTTTCATGTTGTGTAGGGCATATAGATGTCACAGTGGATCAATGTTAGGACCAATTGAGTGCAGCCACACACACTGTGAACCAACAAAGTCCATGCTCAATAATCCAGGTATACAATCCAACAATTTTCAGTCAGTTCACAGTTCCTTTTTTTTTTTTTTTGTGCTGAAACATTTCACCTTCTATCCAGAAGGCTTCATCATTCAACGAAACACACAACACAAAACTGATTTTTCCTCCAACAGCTTACTCCAAAGTGAAGTGGAACAAACCAGTTATGTTGGTGCTAAGATGGTCTCTTTGGCACGCCCCCTCCTCCGGTGCCAGCCCTCTCCCTCGTAGACAAAGTCACATTGTGAAGGTTTCGGTCATCCAAAACTCACTACACCAAGGGTGGATTGTTGTGCTTGTGCCAAGCATATTGTAACCTATCTGCATCTGTTTCTGCGCACGGTTTTATTTACAGCCTCGATTGTCTCTGAGACTGGCATCAGCTGGACTATAGGTTCACAACTGTGTTTAGAGTGGTTCTAAACTTGGAAGGCATATACAGTAGACTGATAAGTCATGTTGTATTAGCTTCACCGAAGAATGTCGATTTTACATTTTCATGGATAACCATCATTGAGTGTGTGTGTGTCATTCCTCTTGACATTATGGTGTAAGGCATCATAGAGGTTTGGGGAATCCTTACAGCACAATAGTTTCTTAGTCACATCCTGTATCCATATGTCTCACCCTTCCTGCAAAACCAGCCTGATCTTCAACAAGACATTTGTCAACACATGACACTTTTCTATGGACTGTCTGCATCATGTTGCAGTCATCCCCCAATCTTTATCCATTTTCTGCCACTTATCCATGGTTGCGTCCCTGAGGCAACCATGTCCCTTTCCCCAGCAACAGTTTCCAGCTTCTCCTGCGGGGGTCCTAGGGCATTCATTCCCAAGCAAGAGAGAATGTTTAACCCTTTTAGACCCCGTTTACATGACACATATTTTGAGTGAAATCGCAGCTTGTCTGCTGCAGTTTGGTTGTTCATATACACGACAACAGCCCCCGCGCTCTCTGAAACTGCAGGTTTCTGAACCCAAATCTCAGAGAGGAGATTTTTGGGGGAACCCCCGCAGAGGTGTGAAAAGCACCGAAAGTGTGAAGTGGCGCATGCACACTGCACGCGTATATTTCATGCATACGTGTGGTGCTGGAGACCCATATTTTCCACCGTAAATGTTGCACCACCCTATAAGTCGCCTCAGTCCATATTTGTCTAATAAAGTGGAAAAAAACATAAATATGTCACTTCACCGTATACGTCGTATCTATTATGCGTCACCGCTGACGCATCGCGTTTGTTATGCATCACCGCTGACAACCTGGAAATGTGGGCCGGTGTTGTGCCAAAAATCGATGGGCTGCCAAATGGCAGCTGCGGAAGCATGCACAGGAGGACTTTATCAAGAATTTAACAAGATTAACGCTTAAAAACAATTCTTTGTTTACTCAAAAATATAGCAAAGTTGTGTCTCATTCTAACTTTTTTCTTAATAAATGCACTTTGACGGTCAAATCAGCTGCATTTTCGAAAGCCAATACGCAGAAACATGAACACGTAGAGGGCAACTCACTGTCCATTTCTTAGAAATTTAACAATATAACCACCTAAAAACAACTATTTGTTTGCTCAGAATTATAGTAAAGGTGTGTCTCAGTTGAACTTTTACTTAATAAATGCACTTCAATGGTCAAATCAGCTGCAGTTCACTGGGGCAGCACAGCAAAATGTAGCAGATTTGACAGTTGCTCCAGGCAGATGATGGTGGCAGACTATGGCAAGCTGATTGTGTCATTAATAGCCACTTTTACCTATTACATGATACAATGGCATGCCATACTGCTCGACTGCCATCTAGCGGCTGAAAATGGTAGTGTTCAATATTTTCAGTTTGAATGAATGAAAACAGTCATATCTCAGCCAAAAATTGGTTTATAAATATGGGGGGAAATCCATAAATATGTCGCTTCGGCGTATAAGTCGCAGGGCATGGAAGTTATGCAAAAAAACGCAACTTATACAGCAAAAAATATGGTAAAACACACTGCTTTATTCGCTAAATAATGACAGTAACAATAATAAACAGTATTTCTGTTAGTGTTGGGAGATGTAATGAAGCTATCAGGACATTATGTAATTCAAGTTATGTGATTTAAATGATGCGAAACATGCGTGTTATTAAAGCTGAAAATGAAATCAGGTTTAATTTTATTTATTTATTCAACACCACAAACTATGTCACACAAACACCGATAAGAAAACTTAACACTATTTAAAACACGTTAACTAAACTTTAAACTATATTATAAAGTGTACTTTTCCTCTCTGTTGTCATCCTGGGTACTGGCGCCATGTTGTTTTTCTGGCTTGTTCAGGCTGTCACATTTTTGCTTAATTCATTCAACCTTTATTTAGACAGGTAAATCCCAATGAGCCTCGAGGACTCATTTACAAGAGAGACCTGGTTAATGTAGCTTAAAACATTGAATGGAATGGGGGAAAAGAACTGAGGGGAATTTTAAGTGAATAGATGATCCAATATTTCTCTCTTGATTTCAAGGTCCTCCTGCATCACCAAGTCAGTGCTCTCTTTTGGACCCGGTCCCTCTGGTGGGAGGATAGCTTCTCTTCTCAGGAAAAATAAAAATAAAATCTTAGTTGGTTGTTGTGTAACCAAACAACACAAGCTAACATTTTCAAGAACGTGTATTTACCTGGTGTAGCATTGCTCGATGGCTACTGATTACCACCGGAGTGGGAAGCCCGAAATCATTCTCGTCAGTGCTGGTTCGCTCAGCGACCGGTGTTGAGCTGTTAGACCAAGCGGTCCGGCTTGACCTCATATCCATCGGCTCGTATCTGAAATTCGGCTTTAAGTTTTGTTGTTACCTGGACTTTGGTCAGCCCAGAGGAAAGTCCTTACTGACAGCAGTCCCAGGCATGCGCATTAGATGAATGTACAGAATTCACAGTGCCAACTAATGACTTGGCATGGCAACTACAGTGGATTCTGGGATTTCTGCAGTTCCATGTAAACACCAAATGCGGCCCGTGTAAACGAGGAATCAACATCTGAAAAACACTACATTTCTAACGACTGTGTCCTGTAAACGGGGCCTTAGACATACCAGCAAATTGAGAGTTTTGCCTTTAAGCTCAATGCTTTCTTCTCCATCACAAACCAGAGCAACACAATCTTTACTGTGAGCAAAGCCCCATTTAAACTCCTTCATTTGAGTAATGATACATTCTCAACCTGGAGGGAGCATTCCAACTTTTTCAAGTTGAGAACCATGGCCTCAGAGTTAGAGATGGCTCTCATCACATGCATCCTTTAGCGGAAACAAAATAATACGCCTGTTTGTTTTTTTTGCGCGAGAAAGTACCACATCTGTATCATTTTTTTCCTTCAGACTTTATTTTTACAGAGTAACCAATGGAGAGAAAACTACTCTTTCTCAGAGTCTTCATCAGCTGATACCCAACAGCTGCATCATTTCACAGGACTCCTATTTTAAGGATGATTATTTTGTACCGGCAGACAGCAACAGCTTCAAGCAATATGACACTCTCGATGCTCTTCACATGGATAAGCTGATGAGTGTGGTCGACTCGTGGCGGACAGATCCAGCCTTGTTCCTGAGGCAGCGAGACCAGAACATCAAGTGTTCGTCCAACAATACAGAAATATTTGTTCTGATAGTGGAAGGTTTCCTTGTATTCAACTACAGGCCTCTAAATGAGCTGTTTGACAAAATATACTTTCTGGAAATACCTTATGTCTGTAAGAGGAGACGAAGTTCCTGGGTTTACAATCCTCCTGATCCTCCTGGATATTTTGACGGATACATTTGGCCAATGTACCTAAAGAACCATCAAGAGTTGGAAAGGATTGCATCAGAAATTGCATTCCTGGATGGTCTAAGGCCAAAAGAAGAGCTACTAGCTGCTGTGTATGAAGATGTTTGTCAGGAGATAGACAGGCTCCAAGGTGTAACTACTACTTGATAACGTGCCTTATATAATATTTTAAACTATGCTCTTTTTTTTTTTTAACAGTTGCCATTCGTTAATATTTCACTGTTTATTGTGCAATGACAAACAATTTAAATAATTTTTTTTCTATTTAACTTTTACACTAACAGGACAGGAAGTAATACAGTTTGGGTAAACATTTCGATGTGAATCATTTTGCAGTGAAGTGAAGCTGTCAGGTGCAAGCTAAATAAATCACGACAAAAAATAAATAATCCAAAATTCTGCTCATTAATTGTATTTTAGGAGATTAAACATAATCCAAGTTGAAGTGTTAAATCAGTTTCAGCTCCATTTTTGGCATCTGCATTTTGTAGCAGGCCAAACTGACAAAGACCATGCAGAATAATGTAGTATTTTAATTCCACAGCAGAGAAAACTATGTAGTCTCTAAGTAGGTCTAGGAAAAAAAATATATTGGTATCGGTTATTGGCCAAATCCTAATTTGACCGATAATTTTAATATCCTAATTGTATCTAGGCTCAGTCTTGGGACCCACCCCCTTTGCAATCTACATACGTAATGTAGGTAAAAACATCCCTGATGCATCCATACATTTCTATGCTGATGACACAGTTTTTTATTTTCGAGCTAAAAACAGTTGATAAGACTTTCCAGCTTTTGCAATCTGCATTTAACATCATCCAGACAGATTTGTTCCACCTCAAATTTGTCCTAAATGCCATCAAAAACAAAAGGGATGCTTTTTTCAAACAGGAAGTCGGTCCCAGCAGTTCTTCCTCCAATTTTATCCTCAAGTGATGTCCCTATCGAGTTTGTTGATTCCTATAAATATTTGGGTATCTTGGTCGACTCACATCTCTCTTTTAAGCTCCACATGGAAAACTTAGTAAAGAAACTGAAAGTTAAACTGGGTTTCTTTTTCAGAAACAGATCCTGTCTAACTCTGAATGCTAGGAAACACCTTGTATCTGTGACTTTCCTTCCCTCCATTGATTACGGTGACATTATTTACATGAACGCTCCAACAATCACCCTGCAGATGTTGGATGCTGTCTATCATGGTGCACTAAGATTCATAACTGGCTGTGATTATCGTACCCACCACTGCACCCTGTATTCACTGGTTAACTGGACATCATTAACTTCACACAGACTCTCTCACTGGTACATTTTCATCTTTAATTCACTTCTTGGTCTGTTGCCTTCATACATCTCCTCCTACATGTCTCTGCGTGAGTGCAGCTACAGCGTGCGCTCTCAGGACATTATTACCTGCAGTGTTCCCTCAGTGAGGACTGAACTAGGCAAAAGGGCCTTCTCCTACCACGCTTCTGTTTCCTGGAATATCTTACAAAAAGATCTGAAGCTCTCGACCTTGACCTCTCTAAGTGGCTTTAAACATCTGTTAAGTTCCTGGCAAGAACCAATGCAGACGTTCTTGTTTTTAGTTTTTTTACGCACACCCTCCGGAGACCGTCATTTTCAAAGCTTCTCCCTCTTGAGCTCTGCGATTTGTTTGCCCAGAGCGCTGTCTTGCAGGCGAACTCTGGGGAAACGCCGAACTGCAGGTTGCCGGAATGAAGAGGGCTGGATTCTGACGGGCGAGGCTGGTGGTGGAACTGAGCGAGAGCCGCGGCCGTGGAAACGTCAATGCTTTGCTAGCGACGGTCCCTCCAGTGGGCCAGGGGGCGGGATGAGCCGCGCGGCTTGATGAGGTGGCGCACAGCCTCTGGCACCTCCTCCGACTGCTTCAACTCGCCAGCATGGTTTGAAGCTGCTCTCGAACAGCGCATCCGCCGTGATGAGCCTTCCATCAGGTCTTTGTGCAGTTTCTCCGGCAGCGAGGGAGAGTAATGAAACCAGGTGGATCGTTGGATCATCGTCATTCACGCTGCAATCGTCAACAGGCAACCCGTAGAAGAGGCACACATGTTGAAGATAACGTCTGCTGCCTTACAGAGGGAGTTCTTTGTCTCCAAGGCAGGTCTGCGGCCTTCAGCCCCTTTGGACAGGCTATATGCTAGCAGCGCCACGTTGTTGCTAGCTGCGGCTGCCTGAAAGCACATAGATGGGCTCGATTGGAGAGCGTGGTCACCGTCTGGTTCGTGTTACTCCGGACGCTGCTCCAACCTGGACAGCTTAGCTCCGAAGCTTCCGCGAGGCTCGGCTCCAGGGGGGGTTACCGAGGGATAGCCCCGCCCGGTGAACCCCTCCACTCTGGTGATGGGTGCGGACTGGGGACAGACTCTCCCAATCTACCATGAAAGAACCCGTCTGTGGCCTCGCCCGTAGGACGTCCTGTTGGGAGCGCGAGGCCATATGGGTCAAGACGGTGAGCCGGAATGGAGCCCAGTAAACAACCTTCCTGCCGGATCATCCGAACTGGTGGGAAAGGCGTAGGACGTAAAAAAGGGTCCTTTCATGTCAGCCTCCTCCTGGGTTACGCCGGGCAACCACTGAGGGCGCCATCGGATGGGAGCGGTGTGATCGCCGATGCGAAAACGAGGTGGGATGGGGTGAGCATTCACTCAGCCCCCCTCCACCGACACTACGCTCCCCAGGAGGGAAAAAGCAGCGGGGGCTGCAGCTGAGCACGCCTATCCCGGATAAACCATCCGATTCGCTCCGAGGGCCGGCGATAAGAGGAAAAAATACAAGATGGCGTTGTCCAGCGTGTAGTGACCTGTCATTGGGAAATATTCCTCGGCGCTTACCTTGAATAGGACTACTCGTCATCTTCTCCTCGGGGAGGAGAACTCACCGGACGACCGGAGGTCGACTGCTGGGCCAAGCATCCTTAACAAAGGTTGGTCATCTACACAATTTTCCTTCTTTGTTCTTCTGACAGTGCTATATTAGCTCGCTGAAGAAAAAATGGGAGCCGATTTCCCGCTCTTAACGTAATTTATATGGACCGGGTGGGGCCCACACAGCAGGTGGGCATGGACTAAATTTTTTCAGTGCTTATGCAGCGCATAACGGGATAAACCCATCAGCGACAGCCTTAAAGGGCGAAGCTTATACGACATAGAACTGTTGGACTCCTGGCAGGGACCAATGCAGACATGTTACTGTTTTTAGTTTTCTACATTCGCCTTAGACTCTAGCTGTTTTTTGTTACTTTTTTTAGCCATCTTATTTGTAAAAAAAAAAAATCTGTATGCCCTTTTATAACTGTCTATTGTTGTCATCATTCTATGTTGAAATCAGGTCTCTCTTGTAAATGAGTCCTCGAGGCTCAATGGGATTTACCTGTCGAAATATAGGTTAAATATAATATTAATAATTAATTAATTAATATATTAATATAGGTTGAATGAATCCCAACTGCTTAACACAAACTGCCAACTCCAAGCCAGTGTCGATCTACAGGATCTTAAGAGATTATCATAGCAGCTTTTGTCTGACTTGCCACAGGAGAGAATACAATAGCTTTATGGTTCCATACTGCTCTTTATCACTGGTCGTATCCACATAAATGTTCAAGTCACATGACTATTAAATATATGCAATTTAATTTAATTTTCACCACTCCGCTGCTGTAGTTTGAGTTTCCTTTTTCCCCCCAAAAAAGTAGGAGACTTTTACTTTCTGTAAGCTTTAGAGTGTATCTCACTATCATTATGAGCCACGTCCATTCTGTTCTGCAATCTTGATGCGACGAACCTCAGAGCCTCGTCTGTTCCTGAGCAGAAGTTAGAACAGTTGGTGCCCCTCAATAAGTCATACCACCATCATGCCAACTCAGGAACACGCAACAGTCTGTGGAAATTTCAGGTAATAAAGCCTGTCTAATTAGTTCCCATCAAAAATGTAATTCTCTTTTTTGAAATTACGCCGCAAGGCCAGAGTGGCCAAAAGCGAAAATACCTGGTGGTGGTGGGGGAAAAAAAGGTATAATGAATGAAAAAAGATATTCTAACCTCGAGCCATAAGTACATTTATATGCTTGACGTAAATCTGACATCAATGTTGGGTCGAATTCTAATTTAATTCTGAGATGTATGTGTAATTTAACCATTAATATGAATGTTACCAGCCTGAATATTTCACACTTTTCATGGATATTGTGAGCTTCTCATATATCCTTCAACAGAGTATTAATTAATAAACTCTTTTCTGATACTTTTTTGCTGGAAACTTCTAATAAGAGCAAGCAGGTAGCATGATATAGTGAGATGAGCCAACACATAGTTGTCTGCCTCATTAACATCCCTCATTTATTAGGAAGAAGCTATTTTCCTGTCATCTTTTCACAACGTGCCTGTGTTGGGTGGCCTGTAAGGTAATTAATAATTAATTAATTAACCAAATTAATTCATAGGTTAGAAACGTTGTTCTGTAGTGGGGCCAGTCAGTTTGGATTTGGGCCCTGATGGGTGAGGCCTTTTACAAGCTGATGTTGTTCTGACAGTGCCAACTCCCCCCGTCTAAAAGCCCTCGCAAGTGCCATTTGTCTCTGGGTTAACAGAATGACAAGATATAGGGCAAAGTGAATTATTTAGGCTCCCACAACACATGCACTTTTGCTTTTCAAGCATGAGTTATTATTTAATTAGAAACTTCTAGTGCGTTGCTGGCTATTTAAATATTAAAATCTTCTGCTGATCACACTGGATTAGCCATCCATGTGAAATTCCCTGAGATGTCAGTTGTTGTCTTTCCATCTCCAACTCCCTCTTCTCGTTCTTGACTATCGTATTTCCATCAGTGTTTTCTGAACTCCCGCTCTCAAAGAGTGTTTGTTGACTCGTTTATCAGACAAAGGAGTTTCCTGGGGCCTTCGGGAGACTTGATGGGTGCCAGTGCTACTGAGCGGGAAGACCAGTACGACCTGATGTGAATTAAATTAGGTCTAATTTATAGGAAGATGATTACATTACGCTTCTCCTCTGATAAAAGTCAAACGCATGAGTGTATTTTTATAGTTGTGGCTGTTCCATATATTGAGCCTTGTTTTCAACTATTTATACTGTCTGAATGAACGTTAAAGCTACAACCTGTTGAC